TGGCCCTGCCGTCGCTCGGGCCGGGCCACACAGCCCCCGGGGCAGGGCGGGAGGTGCTCTCACCCCGGCCGGGCAGTGTGGGCCGCCCTTCAGCCCTTCCAGCCCGGGATCCAAACCTCTACTCTATTTCGGGATCCAAACCTCTACTCCGAATACGCGCCTTGAGTTTGTGGGACAAACTCGTCATGGGGCGTCCAGAGGGGACAAAACTAAGCTGGGGGAAAAAAACCCACACTTCTTCCAGTCAGTGTAGGTGCTGGTGTTTAACTAGAGTAGGTGTTCTGGAGTTACTGTTTCGGTGAGGTTTTAAATGTAAATGATTTTTTTTTTTCCCTCTGCTACGTGAGGCTGTGCCGTTGTACTGGATGTCAGTGTACTTAAGGTTCTGCTAGTACTACCAGTCTTTTATAGATAACACAGTAACTTTATCTAGTGCTGTTGTACCAAGTTCTGTGTCCTCACAAATTATTTCTGTGTTTATATATCGGCACCTGTACTCTAAAGGCTACGATAAGTAAAGAATATTATCGACATAACAGATATATCACACCCTTTGCATTTTACCTAGCTTTTCTAGCCATCTCTAGCTGTTTAGGACTGAAAGAGGCAAGGACCATTAGATCAGGATGACTGGACTGGGGATTCATGGATCATGCTAATTGCACAGGTTTTTTTATACTGTTTCAGTACTGGGGTTTTTATGCTCATTAATCTTTGTGAATCTGCAAGTGTTACAGGACTGTTACCCAGGTCATCTCCTAAAGACTGAATCACTTAAGTAGGAAATACCCAGAAGGCTTCTGAAAGGGCTAGGTCTTAAAAATGAAACAGACTTCCAAAATTCAGAATACCATTGCATCATTGAATGAATTTGTGGGCTGTTGAGGGTATATCAGAAATAATGTATGATATGCTGATTTGTATTTCATATTGCTCGTGAAAGTAGAGATGCATAGAAGATAAGATAGCTTGTATTGCTTCATAATACTTAAAAATATAGAAGACACTTTTAAATGACTGTGGTACTTTGTAACTTTCTTATGTAGAATCAAAACTATTTCATATTTGTGTTTGGAATAAACCGCTAGAACAAAGCACAGAGGACTGAAATACAGAAAGGGTAGATTTTGGGTTTAAGTTTCTAATCTTCTAATTTAAGATATTGAAAGCCATTTAAACCATACTTAAAAATAGACCGAGCTGCATGTCAGCAGTCTTCTGTAATAAATTATAGTGAAGATTCTAGTATTTTTAAGCAAAAAGGCCCTGAGCTGTACACTGTATTGGAGAATGTGCTCTGTGTAACCACACTATTGCTTTTCAGAGCCTTTATGTACATTGAGGTCAGTGTCTAAATGTGGTATCTTGTATATGCATGTATCTTTCAAGACTGAGGCTCTGTACTTGTTAATGTTTTTATGTTACGCCTTTTTGATAATCACAAAATGTGGGGAAAAAATCTGGTAACTTAGACACAGCTTTTAATACTTTTTGAGGTTGTTTGGGTTTTTTTTTTTCCAGAGTAAAGGATGGGACTAACTTCTATATTCCAGCAAGGAGAAAACAGTGCAGTCCAGAACAGGGAGCGCAGAAAATTAGAATTTGTAAAAAAATAAGCCATAATAATTTTTGTGTTAATCTATCCTTTTTGTAGGCTGTATATCTAAGAAAAGATGGCAGATCCTTGGCAAGAATGTATGGATTATGCAGTTGCTTTAGCAAGGAAAGCTGGGGAGGTAAGTATAAACTATTTGTAAATAAAAGCATTGTTTATTGAGTCTAGTAGGTATATAGCTTTTGAAGGAGTTTCATGTTGGATATTCTGAGGAGTGTTTCTTCAAAAACATAAATTAACAGAATCGTTTAGTGATGTTCAAGTTGGAGATTGGGGTGTCTTTCATGTTTACAGCTTGGTTAATTTAAGAAAACAACTTTGTACTTTACTTTGGACCAGACTCCGTTTAAAGGCTAAGGAGTATCTGTTGTTCCTTAAATTTGCTTAAAAAAAAAAAAATCTGAATTGTGGTAAACAAAGAACATCTCTGTTTTTCCCCTGTAACTGCACCTGTCTACCTTATTATTTTACCACCTGAAAGCTGTTGACAGTCTTTCTGGCAAACACCTCAATCAACTTTATACAGTGGCTTGTTGTTGGCACAAGATACCACATCATGTTCTCTTTATGACGACTGCTTTACTTCTGTAAATAAGAAGCATCCCTTGCAGTGGCAGTGCGTTGCCCATTCGTGATCTAAGATGGCTTAGAACAAGAAGGAGTTAGCACATCTTGGCAGAGCCTCAGCGTAAGAGTGGGTACCAAATGTTCAGTTCTTGGTAGTTCTGCTTGATACATTTGAATGCTATTGCAGCCAGACAAGATGGCACATGTACTAATTCTGTCCCCCGGAGCTGCAGAATCTGCAGAACATTGTCCCTGCAATAACCTCATTAAAGTCTTTCTTCAGAAAATCTTTCTAAGTTATAGTAAAATAATTTTGTGGGCTGTCAGGCATGGATTCTTGCTTAAGCTGATTCTGGTAGTTTTAAGATCGTGAATGCAGGGTCTTGCTAAAAATAGCTGACTTAAGCTCAGTCTTAAGTGTTTCATTCAACTCTGGTATTTAAATTTATAAATCTAAAACTCGTCCTAACAAAATAGAGCTGTTTCATGTACCAGTGGATCTTCTGGTAGTACTTAGGTTTAAGGTCATGTAAAAGTTTGTGCTGAGTAGGGGCTGGAGATAGATGGAAGGGTAAGCCCCAGCTCCTGCAGTTAAATCCAGGTTTTGTCACTGCTTGTGTTTGTGTTTTGTATGTGCAGTACAGAAATTACAGTAAAAAATGATGCTCAGATTTTTGGGAAAACTAATATTTTCCATGCTGTTAATGAAGAAAGCTTTTTTTCCTTTTTTTATTTGTTTTGCTAACAGATGATCCGTGGAGCACTCAAAGAAGAAATATGTGTTATGACAAAAAGTTCACCAGTAGATCTAGTGACAGAAACTGATCAAAAAGTAGAAAACTTCATAATTTCTTTGATAAAAGAAAAGTATCCTTCTCACAGGTACTTCTTATCAATACACTTTTTACAGAAGAAGGGGAGAGGTGACTGGAAGAAGAAAATTGAAAGTTTATGATTTTGCTTGGTAAAATTTCATTACGATTGGCATGCTGGAAGGTTACGGAATTCTCCCTTACCCTCAGTATATTAAGTATTTTAGAGTAGTAGTAGGTTGAAGTTTTGCCTAAATGCTTCTAAATTAATTGCTAGCTAATTTTGTCATTAGCTTAGAGGGCTGTAGTAACAAAACAAGGTGTCTACTGTCAGTCTACTGACATGAGTTTAGCCTTGCTCAAGACTTATGCTGAAAGTCAATTCCAGTTGAGCCACCTGTAAATAACTTCTTAGTTATTTGTGTTGGAGAATCAAAGGTGGCCTCAAGATACCCGGAACCCAAATTTCTTGTCTGCTGTTGGCCATTGAAACTAGCATGCCCTTGCTGTCTATGCTGGTTGGGTCCCATGGTACCGAGTGTGCCTTTGGCAAATCTCACACAGTTTAAGAACATCAAACATGCTTAAAAGGAGACAGGATCTTCTGATTCTGCATAACTGAAAGTCTGTCATACAACATACCCTTTTTTTTTATTGCTCTTCCCTTTTTTTTTTCCTTCTTCCCACCTCTCCTCACCACCTAAAAGAAGTTTATTATTGAAGGGTGAATTGTATCATCTATTTTGCTTACTTTTACTTACATGGGACTTTCTTTCCCATTTTGACCTAATGGCTCAAGTTTAATACAGTTTCCTTAAAGTGAGTTTGCTAATTTTTCTTGCATTTTCTTGGAGATTTTCTTATTGTAGCTGTATATGTGAAACATAATACATATGCACAGAATTTGAACAACTGAGGTGATGGAAAATGTCGGTAACCTAACCAAGTTAGTTGTGGAATGACCTTGAAATAACAGGTTCTGTGACATTGCTAAACATTTTAGAATATTTTAGCTTCTTTTTATATTAGATAATTGATATCACATTAGACATACTGGTGTTGAATTTCTCTTTCTAATGAATTACTCATCCACCTAAATAACTATTCAGTCTCTCTTCTCTTTGTGAAGATCTGCTGCTTTTTGGAAACATGCTGTTTCTTTCTGAGGAATCATCTTCACTTCCATAGTTAATCATAAAACTCCTAATCAATATTAAGGGGACCTTATTTGTTTACTCTCTGGAGTTCTCCTCATTTTACATGCTTGTGGAGGAAAGCATGTGTTTGATGCGTACTTTTCATAGGTTGAGTAATGTGATAAATTTAACAACATGCAAAAAGCATAGAACGGAATTCCACTCACACTCATCCCAATAATTTTGCACTTCAAAACAAATACTTTCATGAGCAGCAAAAACTGTGAAATTCATGTTCCTGTGGCACTGTGCCTCGTGTATCCCTTGAGTTTAGTATTATGGTTGAGCATGCACTTTACCGTCTTCTTCAGGAGGAGCTCTGGTTTGGATTTCATCCCTTTACCATGTTACTGTTTTGTAATGAGTGTAAAACTAAACAACTTTCTGTCATATTTGGGTTAAAATCAGACTACAAATTTAACAGTTACCGCAGTGGTCTAACCAGATGCATATGACCACAAAGTCTTTCTTCAGTTAAAACACAAGCTAAAAAGTAGTGGTTTATAGCACAAATAAACTGAAAGGCGTTAAATAGCTACCAGTATTCTGACCAAAATTTGATGATGCTGTTACTGGAAAAAATTATGAAAGCTTCAATGTTCTGAATGCTAAATTCCAGTAACGGATATTAAAACATAAATTTCTTTCCCCACATATTATGCTTATCTCTGGCATCATAAATATTGATGCAAGTTTGGTCAGATGTGGTTGATGCTTTCCAGGTAAATTGTGTATTTCTCAGCTTTTTACAGATGATCACTGGTAGTACAAAACCCTGCATCTCACTGTAAGAATTTTAATTTCAAGGTCAATGTTCTAAATCAGACATTTTATATTATTTGTTTGTATCTTTTAAATGTGTTTGCTACTCTAGCTTCATTGGAGAAGAATCTGTTGCAGCTGGAGAAGGCAGCATTTTGACAGATAACCCCACATGGATTATAGACCCTATTGACGGAACTACCAACTTCGTACACAGGTCCACCTTTCATTTTTTTAAGTTAGCAACTTCGCCTGATTACCTTTTTTCTTTCTCCAGTTCCATGAAAGTAAGGTTTTTACACTTTTACATTGCTTTAAAAGAGGTACTATGAACTTGTTAATAGTTACAAATTGCTATTTGCATTTTTTGAGAGCCATTGGGCAGTTTTTGTAATCATTTTAGTATTTCTGTAAGTATTACCATAGTCTCATGCTGTAGCCAACAGCAGTTGTTCCATGAGAGGCCCATACTACATAGCAGGACTCAGCAGCCTTTGGCACAGGTACCAAAGATAGGTGGGCAGATTTTAACAGTAAAGCAATAGGACTCAGAATTAGGAGTTGCAGTATATTCAGAGAGGCGATAACAGCTCCAAGTGCTGATTTCAAAGAAATTTCAAATTCATTGAGATCTAAGAGCTGCTACCATGAAAGAAAGCGGAATATCAACAGTAATTGTCTAGTGGTATTTTGCACCAGGATGAGGAGGGGACTTACAGTGTAATGCTGACTGCCTATTCCTTCTGTCTTTGAAACATGATAGATTTTGACCCTGATGAGCTTTTCTGAGCATACTTGATTCAATTTTGAAATGACTGCTGCTATGTGCACCATGGCTTTAAACAGCTGCTGAATCCTGCTAAATAACATGTTCAAAAAGCTATAAGAAAAGAACCCATTCTGCTGGACTTACAGACTTAAAAGTCTGTATTTTTTGCAGATAGTAATTAAAGCAAATGGTTTGGAACTGCAGATTTTGAAGAGTAAAAAATAATAATTTAAAAAATACATTAATTGGTTGATCGTTAAAAACTTAGGCTGAGATGCAGCCCACCGTGTCCTATATACTCCCACTGCTTTCACTCTTCCCCCTGCATTCTCCCTTCTCACTTCAGTATCTTTCTCGTTGCTTTGGTGGAGAAAGTAGAAGTGGGGGGAGAGGTGACTTGCTGCTTTTGATGAGACTATTTTGGCCACCTTGTTCCTTCTGAGAAAGGTTAGTAGCATAGAGGCTTGCTTGTATTCTTTGGCTATAAAATGGCAGTCCCTAAGCTAGTAACAGCTGTAACAGGAATGACAGGCTGAGTTTCAGTGAGTGGAAAAGTTTGTATGTTTCAGTGAGTGGAAAAGTTTGTATGTTTCAGTGAGTGGAAAAGTTTGTAATTACCATTTAAATGGTAATTGGTGTTGTTGGGTCTATTTTCATAGTAAATTGTGCAAGTTCCAGAAAACTAATATTTCCTGTATAGTCAAAGTTTCTTTTTGAAATATACATTACATTTAACTGAACATTGTTTTTATTAAGAGTAAGCATGGTAATGAAAGAAGCATAGTATCTCTATAAATTAGTGAAATGTTTTGTTTTGTAGGTTTCCATTTGTGGCAGTTTCAATTGGCTTTGTTGTAAACAAAAAGGTATACTTTTTATTACTTAATATGTAATCAATCAAAACCAAATTAATTCCTTGTTGCTAGTTATAACTAAGATCTGTATTTTCACAGTAAGTAGGAAGAAAGGGAAAGAAAACCTCAAGGTATCTTTACTTTTTCTTGCAGATAGAGTTTGGAATTGTGTATAGTTGTATAGAAGACAAGATGTATACTGCCAGAAAAGGAAAAGGTGCATTTTGCAATGGTCAAAAAATTCAAGTATCAGGCCAAGAAGGTAAGCTGAACTAAGTATCTTATTTCTAGCAATTACATTTATTTTGCAAATGAGGCATCAACACTTTTAGACCTGGATATATTCCTGTTTCTTAGCTCATAGTGTTGTTTTGCAAAGACAGGCTTTTTTTGGCCCTGGGTTGTTCAGTTTTGAGAAACAGCTTTTATGTTCTTTTTGATGCGTATAACATGCTTGTGATCTTTGCAAAATCAGGACTCAGCAATTGAAGATTTTATTCCCTGTGTGTCTGTGTGTTGTGGTTGATTGTTTGTAATTTTCTGTATGTCTGTAATCCGTCTGTGATTGTTCTTTAGAGTCTGTAGCAAATCTACCAAACAATTCAACTTCTTCCAGGTGTGAACTAGTTGTTTAAATCAGTATCACTCTTGTATACTTACTACCCTATGTAAACTAAAATCCACACTTAAACTGGGACCTTTAAAGATCTGAGGACTGTTCTAATTTTTATAGCAATAGAATTTTATTTACTAATGACATGGATTAAGATATATGCACAATTGAACCAGATCATGCTTTGTTTGCTGTATTTTATTTTTTTCTGCCATTTTCCATCTAAGAACAGATTTTTATAGATTAAATATGTAATGTTTGTATTAAAATACCTTGCTTTTATTTAGTCTTGTAAGAAAGCAATGAAGTAAACTCTGCTAATTACTGTTGTTATATAAGTTGTACTGTTGGAAAAATGAGGATTTGTTTCTTTTCCAGACATTACAAAATCCCTTTTAGTAACAGAATTGGGATCAAATCGTGATCCAGAGACTATAAAAATAATTCTTTCTAACATGGAAAGACTTCTCAGTATTCCTATTCATGGGTAAGATACTTGCTATTTTTTACATTCACTGATAGTGATTTTTGTAAATATGGTAATTTTTAAGAAGGGTTGGTTGCATTACATTTGACACCTTAAATGTGAAATATGATCTCTGCAGAGAAACTCTAAGCATGTTTAACTTTTTCAACCTGGGACATATATAAGAGAATCCTAATAATCAGTATTGAGAAGCAAAGCATGTTCGGTTTTGTAGGACTAAAAGGTTACTAGTTAAAAAAATGAAATACAGTTTTGTGCTTCTTTTTTTCAGAAACACACAAGGAGTAAAACTGGATAAACAGAAGCTGTATTACATTTCTTAGTTTTCTTTCCCTGTAGTAATGAAAATCATCGTTGTTTTTTTTATATATATCAAAAGACAAAAGTAGATCTCCCTTTCGTCTTTCAACACCGTACAATTTTTCTGAATTTGTCCAAGTAATTGAAATGGTTCATAAACTGCTCTTATTTTGGTTACATTCCCTGCTTCCTCTCCTCCAGATAAGCCAAAGCCTATATTTCCACAAACCTTATTATGTCTAAAGGTGGTTTCAGTAGATATTTTTTTTGTTATGCAACCCTACTCATGTTTCTGATCTAAAAGGGGTTGTACTTTTATCCTGAGATTCTCAGGATTCTTTTTTTGACACTTAACATGTAGATTTTTTTCTACTTTCAAAAAGTCTTCTGATGTCATTAAATAATATATGCTAAATTGTAAGTAGGGAATACATTTTAGATATGTTGTCAGTTCAACTTTGGTATTTTACTTATAAACAGTAAATTGAGTTAGAGTTCATTTGAGTTGCTTCTTGCAGTAACTTAGCTGCTATCAGTTGCAATTTAATGTACATTTTACTGATAATTGAAATAACTGCAATTATTTGTACAAGCCACACTTTCTAACCAAGTGCATCACCATTTCCAAAAGAAACTGGAATTTGTAATACAAGGGTTTTGATGAAGTTATCCAGACCAAATTTATGCTGTGTAATTTATTTTTTGTGATCACTGCTGTTAGGGTTTTTTGCAAGTCAGAGGTGCTTAATGAGCATCACCAGAGAAACTGAACTAACTGTTTCTTCAATGCTGAGAACAGTGTGCACTCTACTTGAATTCTTGTATTCAAAAAGCAAAGTAGAATATCTGTTATTGTTTCATGGGTAGATATCTTCTATAATATGTTTTAGGTTAAGATGTGTTTTCACTCTAAACCAAAATTGTTGAACAGAATTCATAAATGTAACTTCTGGGAATTTACTATATTTGGAGAGCTCTTCAAGCTAGTTAAGCAAAACTTCATTCCAAATTTTTTTATTTGTTTCACTGCAGCATTCCGTCACATTTTCTCTAGCTCAGTTCGCTTTGCGTATGATGCTGATGTGTTCTCTGTGCAGTGTACACAGACTTTGTGACTTTCTTACAAACTGTTCTCAATTAAAAAAACAACTATGTCTCCTTTAGGATTAGAGCCGTTGGTACAGCAGCTGTGAACATGTGCCTTGTGGCAACGGGTGGCGCTGATGCCTATTATGAAATGGGGATTCACTGCTGGGATATGGCAGGGGCTGGAATCATTATTACTGAAGCAGGCGGAGTACTGCTAGATGTATCAGGTAAATACACGGGCATGCGTGATTCTCTTTTGTCCTTTTAAGTAGCTAATTGGGAGCAAAACATCGCTGAAATGAGAAGGCAAGAGGTTTTTCAATCCTCTTTTCAAGTTACTGCTACTGAACAGAGTTCCCATCCAGTTAACAGACAAAGAGAGAGTCAATTGTATGTTCTTAAGCTACAAGACAACCCTTACTCACTTGGCTGAGCACCTGGAAGAGTGAAAAAAGACAATAAACATATACTGAAGAGAATTTAAAGGTAGCTCATATGAGATACGTGTTGTGTTAAATGCATTTTTATCCAGGGGCAAACTTGGTCCTCAGTAGTAACGTATTACACTTAATTTTTTAAATGCTCATTTTCATACCAACTTTTAGTTTTCTCCAGATACAAGCTAGTTACTTTGCTTGCTTTGATTTCTAGGTGGACCATTTGATTTGATGTCTCGAAGAATAATTGCAGCAAGTAGTCAAGCTATAGGAGAGAGAATAGCCAAAGCACTTCAAATAATTCCTCTGAAAAGGGATGATGCAACTAACTGAATACCAAAACTACACCATAAATGTGATTATATAGTGTTGTCTCATACTCCCATGTGGTGGTTGTTCTACACCTTGAACCTGATAAAAAGATAGATAAATAGATGGTAGTCTTTCAGTACTGGTGTGACTGCTGAGTAGCATTTTGAGATTGGACCAATATTCGAAGTAAGCTTTTACTGTTAAGTATTTTATTTAACATCACTATTACATAAAGATCTATGAAAAGAAGCAAATATATACAACTAATATTTTCAAGTTTTATACTACACTGGACGGCATAGCAAGAGACGCTTTGATGTGTAGATAAATAAAAATCTCTAGGTCCATAAGTGACAAAGCAAAATTCACTGTCTTAACACCGCATCATCACACCTGATGCTGAACCCAAAAAGATGAAGGCATTACTGTTTATCCAGTCTTTCTCTGTCTTGTCTGTTTTCTTTAGTGGCATCAGTGTATCCATTTCCTTACCTTGTTGCAGTTTTTGTAGAGGTAGTTCACACATTTCCAAACATTTTTTAGTTGCTTGTAGTTTGGGCTGTAATTTAAAGCCTTTATTACTTAGCTGTCATCGGTTTTGTAGTCATCGTTCTACCTTTCTTATGGTAGATAAACACAGTCTCTTTAGCCTTTTAAGTGGCCAGTACGCTTGCAAATTAATGCCGGTTACAAAAATAATAGTTATTGTGCCAGAAAATTTGTGCATCTCCGAGAAATAAGTTCTGAGCACACCTTCTATCACCTAATGGACTTACTCTGAATTAAGATGAAGTATGGTTTGCGTTTGACCATTGGAATCAGCTGATACTAGGTCCTCTATCTTATTCTTGGCAATTATAATTCCTGTTAATTTTGCTTGGGTTTCACCATGGATGAGTGTGTTTCAGAGTCTTAAGGAATCATTAAAATCCAAGAAGGTTTTCAGTAACTCAGCTGGCAAAAAAATAAGCCCACAGTCCAGATTTTTTACATAATTTTCTGTGAGTTATAAAAGCAGTAACGAATGAGGATCAGGTTTCCATTGTGTTATAGAGTGTACAGGCACAAAAGAAGATCCATATCTAAACCTAAAGGTTTTATAAATCTAAGAAATATTAGTAATTTTATTCTTGGTGTCAGTTGTTCTAAACTTTGAAAACTATCCTGGTTCTTTGAATTTTTGTATTGAAGATTGTTGAAAGTATGAGTGTACTGTTCAAATAATTAATGCACTTTAAAAAAAAGATTTGACTGAGATCAGTTTTTAGACTGATTTTTCCATGTCTAAAGTTTCCTACAGAAAGTTGTCTCCTTGATGATCCAGTCAAGACATAGCAATGCTTTGGAAAACCTGACTTTTTGTACTGCTGTCCCACTATTTTTATTTTGGAAAACGGTGTTCTCTGTCTTGAAGTTTCAACAGATCTCTCATTTTAAATGTCAGTCTTTTGTATCAGTTGACTTTTGCAGATTTTGCAAAAATATTTAATTTGAAGTTGTATCTAATGCCAGATGATTAACGTTAATGAGATCAGTCTGCTATTTAAAGGCCTTGTCAAAAAGCCATACTTACATTAATTTTACTTTTGAAATTCCCATTGACAAGGATAGAAACTTTTTGAGCACTTCACTGTAACTTTATTGCTGTAAATGATTTGGGATCATCATTATTTCTTGAGAAGTATGTTTACTGTATCATTTCTGTGGCTTTTGTATAACAAATTCTGCGTAACTTTTCTAAACTGATTTATTTGTGAAATGGAGACGTCTAAAATAATACTTGAGATGGGAGAACACATTCAAAATAAATACGCTTTAGCAGCAGTGGCTTCAGATGTACTTCCTTTCTTAACATCCATCAGAGTACAATGCTGGGTCCAAACTGGCTTTGTGGGCTTCAGACTTTCTCTGAGTTGAACACTTTCTCTTTGTGGCTTCTGACATACATAGATCATAAACTGTTGAGCCTTTAGATAGGATTACGTATACACCTGTAGTAGGGTTTTAGAGTGAATACTCCAACACCTTCCAATGAGATCATGGTGCGTTAATCATCTCCAACCCCAGAGCTCAAACTTCACAGATTATTGTGCCTGTGATTTGTTTTGGAGGCCCATCAGCTGGTTGAAGCACATAGCTGTCCCACTGTTAGCTTTCCTAATAATGCTCTTTGAGGAAAAATGTATATGAATTTCCCATCTTGTCCCTCTCATTCTATTTGTGTTGGAGACCAGCCTAATTTTTTTTTTTTTGACTCTATAAATGGCAGCTTTTATCAATTGTCTGCTTGCTTTTTAATTTCATTCTCCTTTTCAGGGGATCAGAAATCCCTCGTTTGCTACTTTGCTAAGCATTATCTTCTCGGATAACTCTTCATCTAATATGTGGCCACTTCTTTCACCATGTGAAAGGACACCGAAATGCAATTATTAAGTTTAAAGGCATTTTCTGGCCTGCAATTTTGGCAAATTTTTGTAGTAAGTGTTTTTCATAGTAAAACAGAGAAGTCACGATTGCTGTGTAATCAAAATGCTTTTGAGACATTATATATGAGAGGTAGTCCCTGAATGTTCGAAACAATAAAATACGTGGTTTTGTTGCTTTGGAAGATGGAGTGACAGAGATAATCATCTTAAATTATTAAATAAAAAAAAAAATCTAAGAAAAAGTTATCTATTTACAAGATAGCTTTTGCTGGGCAATGAGGCAATCGGAATGGAAAACCAGTTACCACAGATTGAACAGATAGACTGTCAAATGAAGATCATGAATGTTCTTCATGAAGACAGTCCAGTGTACAGGAAGCTTTCTTACATAGCTTTTCAGTGAACAATTCGTGACTTCAGCCGGCAAATTCTGCTACGGTTTGAATCTCGACTCTGAATGAAGAACAAGAAGGAGGAGATCAGGCGGACAGATTCAGCAACTGGAGCAAGTGTTTTCACTTCCAAGAAATACTACTGGAAATTAAAGGACCACATGGGCAAATTTAACCAGTCCCTTCACCTTTACTTTGGGAATTTGACTAAATGGTCAAAACCATCACTATAGTTGCTATGGAGCCTATTGCTCTTCTTAACAAAGATCTTCAGAGTAGGGGTATTGATTTTTAGCCTGAGACTAAAACAATCATTACTACAGAATAAGTGATACTGATTTTTAGCACTGATATGTATGAAAAAGGGGCGGTAGCCTTGTCTACCATCCTGGCTATCATCCCTGTTCACGAGCCTTCTCCATTTATTGATTCACTGATAGTTTGTGATTGTTTTCTATGACAACTTGCAAAGCTTTGCTCCTTCTTCAAAGCAGGGTGTTCCAGTAGATTCAACCCTTCGGAGCTTTTCCCAGCATGAAATATTGACATAAAAGGCTTCAGGCTCTCGTCCAGCCCTCTTGAGCAGCCCTGCAGAAAATCCCTCCCCTGCCCCCCACCCCGATGAAATATGGACTATTCCTCATAATATCTGTGCCCCAAAGCTATGGTTTTAATTCTGCATAGTCTAATGCCTAGGGGTGAACTAGACAGTCTAACTAGATCTAAAATGTCAACATGTGACCTCAGTATGAAGCAATTTAAATTTAAATAAGCAATTCTTCCCATCCTCTCAAAGTCAGCTGCTAATTCAGCTCTATTCATTATCTGTGAGTGAAGTAATTGCTTCACAGGTCTGATCCTGTTGCTGAAGTGCTGACAGGCGACTTCCCATCAGCACATTGTTTTTGGATCTACAGCCGTTGGCATGGCTTCCTTTGTTTGCACAAACTCCAGGCATCAGAAGAACATTGACAGTGATGTGACACCTCAAGAGTCGCTGCCAGAGTCAGATCTCCCAGACAACATAATCCATTTGATCCCTGGATTACTACTTGCCCTGCACCAAAAGTAGCAGTGAATGTAGTCTGTCGCATCACTCTTCAGTTTGTACAATTTTCACGCAAAGATCCACGGCTTCCCAAAGATCAGGAGCTTCTGGAATGTCCTCTGTGCCCACTCTCCGCTGTCTGCCTGCTCTAACAACAGGGCAAACAAAACCTGCCACACTTCAAAGCCATGTGCAACACCTGGAACAAACAAACCAGAGGAGTGCGCTCAGCTGAGAGCACATCATGCCACTGTATTAAAGAGCTACAATCTCTTGCGAGTTTGAGGAGGATGGATTAGATCTCCCACGGTAGAGCAGACATAATTTCCTAGCACAATTCAAGCTGGTAAGATGCTAGAAATAAAGGTGTATGTGTATCCCGTCTCAGAAGCGTATGATGCTTGATGACGCTGATGACTGCTGATGGCTGCTACATTAGCTTGAGTTTCTACCTTGCGTGTCATACTTACACTTGGTTTGCACGGTTGCAGTGAGGAGTTTTACGCTGAGATGATTCTCCCTACACCAATGTTGCTTTAGTTAGGAATCGGGCCTTCTGTACACCCATTAAGTGAAAAGAAAAGAAGCCCAAACTACAACAGCAACTATTGTACCACAGCAGTAGTGAAGAACAGAAGCCTGCCCCCTTTTTATGCAGGGGAAGATCAAAGTTTACGTTTTGATATGTCTGTCCCTAGCTCAGTAGAGACCACACTTAAAACCATGTAGATAGGCAGAGTTCAGCCTCGGAGAAGACTCACGCAGACTCAAAATAAGCCGTGTACCTCACCGTGCCTGACAAAACACTAGATGGCAGCCCGAGCCAGGAAAACACCAAAAGGCCCAGGATTCCCTTTTTATAGATTATTCCTTTTTCCACTCCTCCCTCCCACCCTCCTTCTGCTCTCTGTAATTATTGTTGGATACAACGAAGAGCATATCTGAGAATTATTCAAAAGAATTATACCACAAATTTTTGAGCATTTGGACTCTGTGTTTCATGACTTGACAAGAAATTTGAAACAGGGCTTCCACCAGCAGCGTTAACATTCCCTCCTTTTCAGTGTAAGTACATTGAAGACACTGGTATCTATCACAAGAACAGGAATCTGAATTCTAAAATGAGATAAAAGCCATACGAATGATCAGATTATA